CCTGCCCGGGCCCCCTCCTGGAGCGCCCCCGCCAGCCCCCCACGTGAACCCCGCGTTCTTCCCTCCTCCCGGGAACAGCAGCATGCCCTCATCCGACAGCCGCGGCCCTCCTCCTTCAGACCCCTACGGCCGCCCGCCTCCGTACGACAGAGGGGACTATGGTCCTGCTGGCAGGTAACTTGGGACGCTGTTCTTTGGCTTCTGTCTTTGAAAGACGTACCTGCACACCACTGGCAGCAGGAACAGCAGCTAAAACCACTGCCTCTGCCTCTTCAGTTTCTCCTTTCCACCCCTGTGCTGTCCTTTCTCTTGTCCTTCCGGAACCTGCTCTCCAGGCAGAGTGTTGTGATTGCAGGTCGTTTTACCTCCCTTCTCCATTCGTGTTCCTCGAAGTACTTGTTTGCCCTGTAACTGCCTTGTTTAATGGGCCCAATTTTTGTTTTTTGTCCCGAAAAGCAACAGTTTAAACCGGAGTTTAAAAAGCTTGGCGTTTCTGACTTGCTCTAGAGTTTTAAGGGAAAATCTGAAACAGAGCAACTAACTAAAATTGCTTCCGGTGTTGTAACCTGAATAATTCTGCTAAATGTAAATTTGTACATGTGTTCTAAGCTGTATATCGGTCCGATATGTATATGCATGTACTAGTTTAGTTGAAAGATTTACTTCTGTGCATTTGTGGCACGTTGTCAGTTCAAGTTGCTGATTAGCTGTACCGTTATCAGTGAATAGCTATTTAATCCTTAAAGCCTTTGTTTCTCAAAAAGTTTACTTGTTTCATAGCAGCTTAGATCCCACCGTTGACTGTAGCTGTATACTAAATTGAAAGCTGATGTCTTTCTCTAAGTTTAAAGGGGTTAAATGGGTGAAAGCTGGATTGTGAATTTAGAGAGACCGGCTCTAAATGAGTGTTCCGGGTGCCGTCTCCAATACAACAGCCCAAGCAGTTGTCTTTAAAACTATTTTTCTACTGCAAATGGCAAGATCTCTATTATGTCTCTAAACTGTTGTGGCTTTTTAACTTCAAAGTTGAAGAGGCAAAGCCAAGACAGTGATGTTTCAGCTTTCACTGTAAAATAGTTCTCTGTAAGTTGCACATGGCAAAATGATCTCTTCAGTGTTTATTGTCCTAGTTTATTTCTCAAGCATCAGACATAAATTATTGTACCTAGTTGAATGGAGAAATATCTCGGTTAAACCAGAAAGTCTCTTGCCTTGTTGGGGCCAAACTGTCGTGGATTTTGTTTTTATTTCAGTGCATTGACTTTTCACTTTTCCTTCACATTTGATGTTTCTTAAACAATTATGTGCAGCACTCTTTTGAAGGTCACCATCTTGAGTTTGAGTGGTGTGAATTATTTGGGGATTCCTCTACTTCGTATCGTGTTTTTTCTAATGTAAGAAAAACCGCTTCTAGTATAGTGCCGTACTGTTAACCTTTTAAGAGCCAGCATTTCATCATGGTTCTTCATAAGCCAGTTAAAAGGGTGTAGGTTATACTTGGCTTTCAGGTTACATAATTTTGGTCGTTTTATGTTCCTCCTAAAACTGCAGGGTACATTTTGCTTTTGAAGATAGGGTAATTGCAGTGCTGTCATAGGAATGGAGGTAGGTCATCCTTCATCACGCTCCTCTGAGACTTTCTCTCTGTTGCGGACAGATGAAGGACTTGAGGTGTTTAGTGATCAGAACATGAGAATGCGCACGCCCGGGAGATGTTATTGGATCTGTTCATCTGGTTTGATTTTGAATTGACTGGACTGTCTAATCCAGCCGGGATCTGTTTGGGCACAATTAGCAAGATTTTATTTTATTTTTATGTGGATGTTATTTTTCATGCATCTCTTATTGCAAAGCTAAGAAGCCAGAAAATTGTTGAAAGGCCTGGCCATGCAAAAACACATTTAACCAGCTTCTGTGCGCCATGTGCTGTAAGCAGTGTGCTGTGTGCTGGTTTTAAAAAGCTAATATTTTCTTTTTGGTTTTGAGAATGCATTGAGATGTTTGTTTTTTTAATATTTATTTTCTAGAGTAGTCATTCTTAGTAACCCTGAATGTACCCTTCTGGCTAATTTCAGTAATCCGCGACCCTCGCTAATCTGCGGGTACGACCTAGGACCCCGAGACCCGTGGATAAACGAGGGGGTGGTCAATCTGAAAAATGGCGACCAGCACTTGCGCGATTCAAGTGATTCAGGGTTAGTAAATACTGGTGGCAAAGAACAGGAACATTCGTAAGCTGTGACATGGCTTTTCTGAGTGTATGCTGCTTTTTTTTGTTGTTTTGCTTGTTTGAAAAAGTGAATAAACAGGATTTTTAAGTACAGTATTAAATGGTAGACGTGACCCATTTGTGCCTCGATGTTTTAAGTTTTCAAGGAGTTTGTGTCTTAACAGAATCTCCTGTCATTTCAACAAGTTCTCTCTCTCAATTCTTACCTTCTTGCTCTTGTTGCCTTGAATCTTTTTATCCTGAAGTGCTAGATCCCACCCCCCGAGCGGCAGCCTGTGCCGATTCTCACTGCCTTGTTTTCCTGCTCTTCCAGGGAAATGGACGCTGCCAGGACGCCCCTGAACGAGGCCGAGTTTGAAGAGATCATGAACCGAAACCGGGCGATCTCCAGCAGCGCCATCTCCAGGGCGGTGTCGGACGCCAGTGCAGGTCAGTCCCGCCCCGGAGTTTCTCGATGTGAAGGCCTGGGGGTCCCCAGGGTGAGTGCTCCAGGGGGGCGGGGGCGGCTCCCGGAGACGTGACGAGCCTTCCGTGTCTTCCTGGGCGCTGGCAGGGTCGGAGAGGGGCTGTGCCGCTCTCAGTCCGCGCTTGAGCCTGTAGCGTGTCGGCAGACGAATTTCTTGGGGGTTGGAGGAGCCAGTCTCCCTTGGAGATCGATCAGCCGTTTTGTGAGCTGTTCTGAAGCAGAATGCTCAGTCTTCTTAAAAGGACGACCGTGGGTAGTTTATCCATCTGTTCATTTGCAGAATAAACCGGAAAGCTGGAGCACTGTATTTTCTCCAAGGGGCCAAAGCTGTAACTTTTCAAACACCGATATTGCCTAGGTGATCAGTCACTTGGCCTGTAGTCTGTGTTTCCTGATTCTCCCTGATAGGGTTGAAGATATTACAGTGCACCAGGACAATTGGCGATTCCAATCTGAATGGGCCTTTAATCATTACTTGTTGTTTGGCGACTGCATTTTTATACCGAAAATAGTTTTAGGGTTCCAAACATGCAAACGCCGTGTGTACACGCTGACTGCCCCAGTTCTCCAAGTGTCCTGGAAAAACCACAAGTTTGGAAAAATAAGCGCACTCAAAAGTAGAACAGACCTTTCTTTGTTTTCAGAATTCCAGACGAGCACTAAAGCACAGGGTTTTGACAAATGTGGTTAAAAGTAGTAAGTGCTCTGAGAATGTAAGTTTCATAAAATCCATGGCTGAAACCGGTAACAGTAACAGGATGAACCAAGTTGTGAGCAGTAGCGAGAGGAGTGCTGTGTAACATTGTGAGGAACTGCTGTAAAGAGAGATCGTCCATTACTGAGAAGCAGTGTTGGTGTTTTTGGAAAAACATTAACGTTTTGGCTATCAACTGCATTCACGTTCCGCTGTCTATTTTTCCTTTCAGCTGACTACGGTAGTGCAATCGAGACCCTGGTCACTGCCATCTCTCTGATAAAGCAGTCCAAGGTGTCTGCAGATGACCGCTGTAAGGTGCTCATCAGTTCTTTACAGGACTGTCTGCACGGCATCGAGTCCAAGTCTTACGGCTCTGGATCCAGGTAAAACTTATTCGCTCGCCTTCCTCTCAGTGCTGTTATGAGTTAATCTATGAATATGGCTAGCCTGCTCATGCCTGTGAGAACTGTGGAGTTATAGAAAATTCCCCCTTCCTTCTAGGGCATACTAGGACAGCTCAGAGGCAGGTGAAATGCTTGTAGACCACTGTGTGAAGTCACTACAGAATAAACAAAGAATAAAAATTGATTTTGGTGTGAACTGATACATTGACCTGCGTGTGAAGTGTTTATAAACTTCTATAGTAGTTCCGTCTTTCCCAGAAAGATGCCAAGGCACTCACATTGGTCAATCTGTAAACAGTCCCAGCGGATTGGACTGAATGCTGAAAATAACGCTGGCGGCCGAGTTCCGGAGCTGGTTGTGGGGGGTGGGGGAGAGAGAGAGAGACGCTTCCAGGATACGCGAGTTGTGGTGTTCCTTTCAGAAGACGGGAGAGGTCGAGAGAGAGGGATCACAGCCGCTCCAGGGAAAAGAGCCGCCGGCACAAGTCCCGCAGCCGCGATCGTCACGACGACTACTACCGGGAGCGCAGCCGGGAGCGCGAGAGGCACCGCGACCGCGAGCGGGATAGGGACCGCGAGAGGGACCGAGAGAGGGAGTACCGCCACCGCTAGGGAAGGTGTGTATGTTGGCCGTGGTCGTGTCTTCCTCTGAGCGCGCTGACCTCTTCCGTCCTCTAGGAGAAAGGGCAGAGTTGTAGGAGCGGCCCCTGTGGGAGACTGTCTGAGCCGGTGCTGGGTAGGTATCGACGGGTACGTATGCGTCCGTATGGAGGATACAGCAGTCACCTGCTGAAAAAATGATGGAACCGCTAGTACCACCACGGCGTTATTTTATTACCCTTGTGTAATTTTACTTTTGCATTTATTTGCATGCTTCAGAGCATTAACTGTGCTTTGTTGCTTCCTGTTGAGTCATCGTCTGTGACTAAATTTCTTGTATTTTTACGTTTTAACTTATTTTACAAAGAAACAGAAATGTTTTAAATCGGTAAGCAAAAGAGATTTTGATCAGGGCCATCAAGTTGCTGTAAGAATGTATTTCTTCCATTTTTATGTTTTTGCTTATTTTACACGCAAACATAAGTATATAGATTTAAGGTTCTTATCACAGAGATTCTGAGTAGGCTTGTATAATCTCTTGATAAGTGAAAGAAAATTGTAATTGTCAGTATACCCTGTGTGCCTACATTTCCTTGTCCACAAAACGGTCTTCTGCTTTTGTCAATTTGAAAGGAGATGCGGGTTTGTAAGAACACTTCATGCCCAGTGTGAGAGTTGTCTGTTTTATTGCCAACAAATACCGAAGTGACCTTAAAGGTAGCTGGAGGTGTGGCATTCACTCTGTATCCCAACAGCAGTCCTGTACCTGCTTATTTTTTTTCAAATTTGAAATCTCTAGTGGAAGATGTTAGAAATAACCCTCTTTAGAGAGTATACCCAAGGCTACAAATACATTTAACTGTTTGGTACTTTTGTCTTACCAAAAGTATCTCCATTTACTGTTGTTTTTTTTTTTATTTTGTGCCTTACAATACTTGGAAGTTCATCAGTGTTGTGTGCAACAATAATATATAATATTTTTAATATATAAAGAGAAGAATTGTTTGAACGCAGCCCTGGAAACTTCTTTCCCTGTTGCACTACTGTGGTGCTGACACCTGTTAAAAGTGTAATCCTATTGAGCAAATGCAGTGCATGTGATTCTCTTTTCTGTCGAAGACCAAAGAAATCTCCAGGGCTGTTAATACAGTTACAACAAAGTTTCTTCCCATTAATCTGGCTTTGGAGTTGTTATAGTCCACAAGCCATGCAGGCTTGTTCTCAAAAACCATCTGAGTCTCTTAGTGATTTTTTTTTTTCTTGGTGCCTCACACTTATTTTGTTGCCATTGACATTTTTTACATGCTTGTAAAATCTTATCGGTAGTTTTCTGGTCTGTAGTAATGGGGTCAACTGCTGCTAAACTGTATTCTAGAGAATCAGCTGTTGAGTCTTCTTTACAGCTCACAATTCATGCTTAACACTGCCGTTGGCTCTAGTTGTGCATTTTGATTTTTGTTTATTTTTCTTTGCTCTGTTTAAGCTTTATATGACTGGATTAACACCCCTTGGTATTCTACCTCTTTAAGAATTGCCCTCTATGGGGCCTGAAAACAAAACTTAAGGTGTGTGTGAATTGTGTATTTGCTTTGTCTCACTCGCTTCTCATACTGTTACTTATAAAGAGCCTAGATGACCCTCTACGTGAGAGCTTTTTTTCAGCTAAAATATTAAAATGGCATTTTTGTGGGATATTGAAAACTTAGACGTTCAGTATTCAAGTCATTTTCACATTCTAAAATTTGAAGACATTATTGACCACGTAAAATGTCTAAGGTTAAATGTGGTAATTTTACATTAGGGGGAACTAATGTAAGTCTCAGGTGATAGTTGTGTACATTCTTTGACAATGTACTTAGGTGCATTTTCTTTTCTGCAATGTTAAGTTCCAGCATGGAGTGTTTTAATAAATATTAAGGTCATTCTGTGTTAACTGTTCAAACCTATTAGCTGCTGATGACCACCATGTAAGAATTTCATCAGATTGCTGAAGTCATGATGGCAAATTCAGTATTGAAAAAAGTCATATTCCAAGCTTTGGAGCCAGTTAGTACTGGAAGTATAGCAGTTAACACTGAATGAGCCTGGACAATTTAACAATGGTAGGTTTTCACACTGCCAGCTCAGTCAAAAGTGATATCTAGATTGATGTGAAAAGAATGCACAGTTTTAAGATAATTTTGAACTTGCTTATGTGTATAGTTCTAGAGTTTAAAGGTTTGCATTAAAAAGCAAATCTGCTTACGTTTCTATTATAAAGATGCAGATTGCGGGAAACCCTGTGTTTTGGATGTCCTGTAACCTAGCACTATCCTACTTTGTGTAATTTTAAGTGATATCATGACTTTTTCAAGTTGTAAAACTACATATTTTGTAAGACAGATGTAAGATTTGTTTGGTTTATTATTGTATAAATATACATTTATTTAGAATGTAAGTTAATTTATTACATGCAATGATTGGTCCCAGACACTTTCAAAAGGAATTTCCCCAAGGAAATACTGGGTGAAAAATCAGTATGAATTTAAATTTGAAATTTGCTGCAAAACCAGCAGCTTGTGAAGTCAAATATTGTGAATATACAATGCTGTTGCAGATGCACATTGTGTGACTTTATAGAACAGTCACCTGCTTGTGCTTGAAAAGATTTTAATCGAGCTGTCTAAAATGGATGCATAAGTTTTGTATTGTGTTAAAAGCAGGCCTTTGCATTTAGCCTGTCACATGGAAGGACGTTTTTAACTTTTGTAACTAAAGTAGAATGAAACATGCATTTATTGTTTGGAAGTACTTGAATATTAATTTGTGTATGTACAGAAAAGGTTCAACTCCAAATTAACGGTCCAACTGCTTTATCGAAGTTAACTGAAGGTCCTGTGTTATCTAGTTTGTCTCGCTAAAGCTGTGGGCAATAATGCCAAAAAATAAACGCCATAAGTCCGTGATTTAGTGTCCTTGACGGTATACATGCATCAGTTTGAGATGCGGTTTGCGGTTTGAAAATTGTTTCAATGTCAAGCTAGTCTGCAGGCGCGGCCTGTCAGTGGACTAGGGCATGTTGTAACAAGAGGCCAGGGTTGTGAAATATTCTGTAGAACAGTAGATTTTTAGCTTGGAAGGCGACAGTTTCTGCTACCATGATTTCATTGGCATTATTAAGGCATTTTTTGGGTGCAGCCCTATCTCGTTGTTTTTCTTTAAAGTACGTTTTGTACAGGTTTGCCGTGAAGAAACCACTCAAGTCTTCTTGTTTCAGTTAAGAAGGTGGGTGCTAGGCTTCTGGGTTTGGTCTCGCCACTGTGTGCAGGGAACCTCTCGGGAAAACCTTGTCTACACTGCTGCTGTTGATGGCCAGAGAGGAAACCTACACCACACTGTTCCTAGAACCCCATCTGCTCTGTTCGGCAGCCTCAGTGAGGTCGCACTCCCAGTCCCACGTGTGTAGGACTGAACATAGGCCCCAGATTTCCTGCTTTTGACTTAATGATGAAAGAGCTCCTGAGACCCGCAACTGTGAAGGAGAGAAATCCATCCGCCGAGTCACTGGGTCTAAATTTCTTTCATTCCAAACATTTTCAGCTTTATGGAAAGGAGTTTGGAGAAACCACTGTCTGTCCAGTCCCACATCCTGGGTGCTGGATTGTGCAAAAATTCCAATTAGTATTTCTGAGCTGGTGATGTTTTTTTAAAAAAAAATCTAAAACGTTTAGAACTAACGGCAAGTTGTTGCGTGGTTTCTTCACCACAGACCTGTGCTTTCCCTCTCCCTTGTCTCGTAATTCACCACCAGTCCTTACTGGTTTATTACAATGGCAACCAAGGAAGTATAATTATTTTAACCTAGACGTTGGTCGTCATGTTCAAACTTAATGTTTAACCTATTCATTTAGCTTTCCAGGCATGTTTTTATATTGAAGGGTTGCACAGAAGAAATCATTTTTTGATTTGTCTTTAGGTACCAATGTTTGCAGGTATCGAGAATGCAGTGCTGACACACCTTTTCAAATTTAACATTTTTCTTCTCTCATGCAAATCTCTTAATATGTGCACATGTGATTTACACTGCCACTTTGCTTGTTCCACTTAGTCTATCCATTGCAGTTAAACTCACAACGCATTCAATGTGGTATTTGAGCGATGTAATGAGTGCTAGTCACACAGAATGAAACGTTCTTGAAGTGTTTCAGCCAGTATAGACTAGCAGGCGAGTTTGGAAATAAAACTATGTAAATTTGCAGTGGACTAAAATGACTGGGACGGTAGCTAAATGACTTCTGCTTATAATAGGGGGATGTAAAACTACAATGCAAATCTGCAGCTGCGTTAGTTGAGGAGAGGCTGCTTTTCTTCATACTGGCACAGAGCACTTGAAAAAAAGTCATGTATCTTACACATTTCCTGGCTTTGCAACAGGTAAATCGATCTGTTCGTGTCTACTGTGAGCCTCCCTCATTCCCTCTCAGGGTGCCTGGTTCTCTGAAGTCACCGTGTTCCCAGGCACGACTCCCAGTGGCTTTCACTTTGCTGAGCTAGTTCTGTGCTCCTGAGCCTGGCTTCGTAGCACTCTGCTAGCCTGCTGGCACGCCATAATTTATCAGTTTGCCCTTTCCTGCCTGGAGGAGAGAAGTTTTTTTGTTCATCTTTTACCTGGTGGGACAAGTCAGGAAATGATTGTAGCTCCTCTTCTCTGTTCTTGTTTGAAAAGAGTGCAATTTGATGCACGTTTTCAGAATATGAAAAAGTCCGAGAAGTGCTTTCACTAAATCAGAACTATAATATTGTATGGTCTCCTTGGGACTTTTTTTCATGTGGTTTAAAGCTCTTGAACGCTGTGGGAACTCATTGTATCTGCTGAGGTTTGTTTTAATAAGTGACTGCATGCCCAACTTCAAAACTTTTATCTGTTAGCATTTCTGTTCTCAGTCCTATGTTGCATACTTATTTACATGGTGCAAAAACTAGCAGCAGGCAGGGCGTATATGTTGCAGCTCCTTTCTCCCAATCCCACTTGTCATTGTCTAAAATATTTCACTCCTCTCACAAGCGCCATTGGCGTTTTTGCCAGTAGCCCCTTTGGTTTCTTCTGTCTGGTCTTCCAAAGCCTTGTGTAATTTTATTTTTATTCACACAAGGGCTTTGAAAGCTACCTTAATATAATGACCACATCCGTTCTGTAACAGGGAATAGAGAAGTGCATTCCTCTTAAACATGTTCATAAATCTTTGCGATGCTCATCTCAACATTAATATCTTTGTGAATGTATTAAATTGGCCATTCCAGAAATCCCATCAGATTGATGCTATATGTTGGGTTTTTTTTTCCATTGCCTACATTGACTTACCTTGGCAACTGTAACGACCCCTCAGTGTGGATTCTTTTTAAATTTGTTCACCACCATCGCTCAGTGGTGCCCAGATGAGAGGAGTGTTATGACATGTTGTTCAAATTAGACACCTTTATAAACCCCAGGGCTGTTTCTTCATCTGCCTGGTGCTGCTCTGGCTTTGTCCTTGACCTGGGCTGTGTAAGAGTGCCTCAGCAGAGCTGCGTTTGAAAGGTTTACCGTAAAGGTGCATGTTCAGTGTTGTGTAGTTAGCGAAATTGTGTACACTAACGGGATGAACAAAAAAAAAACCTACAACATTCGTTTTGACACATTACAGCTGAAGGAAGAGGAATGGGACTGCAAGTCAAGACGGAGGCCTTCAGGAAAAGACTGTCCTAGCCCGTTTGTCTCCACACGAAAGCATTGGATTTCAGTCTTCAAGGACGTGTAAGGCACAGCAACAGTAGAGTAAAGCAAACCTACGTTCATGGTAACCGACGGCTCTATTTTTTATTTTTTTATGTTGCTTAAATGTTTTATTTGATAACCTGTGTGATTTCAAGTTACTGCTTTGCAAAACAAAACAAAAAAACATGCCTGTTCCTACACCCCTTCCCTCCCCCCGAAAAAATGCTATTTTGAAATCGGATCTTGTAAAAAAACAACAACAACTGAAGTGTCATTAGACCTTGTTTTTATCTCTCTTCCTGTGTTGCAGAATGTTCCATGTTCAGATAATGTCTGTAAATGTCACAGCTTTGATTATTAGATTTAGAGTTAGTGTTGTAATAAAATGTTTACTGCCGCTGATACTTGTTCAGATGCTGCACATTTTCTTTGCATTCCTCAACAGTTTTGTTCATTTATATTAAATGTGTATGTGTTCTGAAGATTTTCACATTGAATGATCCTATTCATAAATGGCTTCACCTATGAATTGCAAGATATGGTCTGTGTTCAGAGCCCTTGTTTCTTCATGGCATGTTCTCCTTTTAAGGCACACTCCTGTCTCAGCTTGCAGTTTTTCCGTAATCTATAAAAAATGTATACATATAGACACAAAAGCTCAAGTCAGCTGAATATGATGGGTCTAAATCTAATATTCATATCCAAATAGAATTGTTTAAATGTCTTCTCATATTAGAATTGGATTTTATACAAACCCTTGTATAACCCTTGGGATTTTGATTTGTTAGTAACTGACCTCTTTGAAGGAACGTTTTATTCAGGTGCTTAAATTTCAGATTACTGTGGTCGTGTTAAACACTCAGTAGCAGACCTGCATTTAAAAGGGGTTAATGTTTAGATTAAACTTATTTACATAAACAAGGCCATCAATTAATTGTCATTCTTTTTAATGTATCATGTGAAGTGTTTTCTAAAGTGAAGACTTTTTTGCTTATTGTGTTTCTTGTAATATATGCATTATTTTAACACAGACCATATTACAAATCTGAAGCCAGTCATAAAAATGTCTTATATACGTATTTTTTAATAATTTTTGAAATGCCAGTGGTATCCTTTTATTTAGGGATTTTGTGTTTTAAAGTTTGCACATGAAAAGCCATCATGCATTTTACCAGGGATATGTTTTTTTAAAATGTGCAAAACATTGCGTTTCCTGCTACACAGTATCCCTGTTAAAAATGAGCCTCATGTAACAAATTCTGTGTATGCTGCTCTACAAGTCTCTAGAACCCAGAGCTCTTTGAAGATGGTGCCACAAAACCTGTGGATTCAGTGCACACACCAAAAGTAATATTTAGATGGTGACTGCTTTTGTTCATTCGATTGTATTGTGTGCTTTATGACAGAGGAAATTCAGTAAGCTGGATGATGGTGTGCATCTCGACTGATTCCTCCCATGTGCAATTTCCTGCTGGTGTATTTTCAAAATTGGCTTTTTGCCATCAACATTTTTTAACTTCTCTCAATTTCTAACTTTGTACTTCAAGTACATTTGGGAAAGAAAGTGTTAACAGCGTTTTTAATATCAAAAGTTTATACTGTATAGATCTGAAGCACTGGTTTTGTTTTTTACTTGATTGTTCAGATTTTATGATGTGACGTTTCTGCCAGATCCTGATTTTTTTCCTGTAGATACGTTGCCATAATTGGTCCATTTTCTTGTTCTCCCTTTTGGGTGTGAATGTCTCTATGAAAGTGCAATGCCAAAACAGTTTGGGATTTTAACTGAAATATATGGGGAAAATGTGTAGGCAGGACCACATAAGCATTGCAGTACAGAGCTAAACAGGGACCCAGTTTAGCTGAAAATGTGGCTGAAGGACTTGAGTATTTGTTGGTCAGGAAGAAGAGCAGGAGTACACAGCCCTAGCACTTGAGGGCTGCCTGTTCTGCTTGTGTCCTTTGAGCTGGTTTAGTGCTTGGGGAAATTAAAAAAAAAAGGTCCTTGTTTGGGTTCTTCTCACAAAGTTTCATCTGTTCTCATGAAGCAGATAGGGGTTATGGTCCTTAAGCATCAGAGTTTTGCAGTTACTGTAGAAATGTGCACCTGTGTGCTTCCCCCATTCTCTGCCTGCAGGTGATGACAGAACACCTCACTTTCCCCTTCCTGTTGCTTCAGTACTATAGACTGCTCAGGACATGTGAATCCAACATGTTCTGCAAGTCAAAGAAAACATCTTGTCGCGGCATCTTTCCATCATTTTAACTAGCCCGTAACATTCAAGTTTAAAAAGTAAACCCTTTTCACAGCATTGTTTTTGCACAGGGCTTTTATTTCACAATGACCTTGTTGATCTTAAGTAGTTGTCCGGCTCTTGCCTGTGTGGTTTAATGTAGAGAAGTAATTTGTTATACCAAAGTCTTAAACCTCAGTCCCGCCAAGAAAGAAATCAAGAAGACAAAAAGAAATGTGGATAAACATTGTGGTGTTTCTGCTAGAACAAACTGAAAACTTACATTCCTGTTAAGTCTGCATTCTTTGTCATGTCCTTTACATTGTACACATACTTAACATTAAGAGATGCATTCCGGTATCTCCAAATATATATATTTTTAAAAGGGGGTTGATATTTAATTCCAGTTTGCAACGGGAAGTCTGTTTTCAGATATTAGGTTGTTCAATCATGCTTTTTAGTGTGATGGCAAATGGGTTCTACAAGTAACCACTGTAATATGTATTCTATTAAGGGGGAAGGTTTTTACAGATGCACTGTCCTGTTTGAGTGTCTTCAATAAAGTAGATTTTGCTGACTTCAAGAATACATTTAACCCTCATGGCCATGGCTTGTTTTTTCCCCCTTCTTTTTTACCTGTGACAGTGCTCTGCCCACTCGGCCATAGATTAGTATCAGCTCTATGGAGAATAGCTGTTTCATAAAAATGGGCTTAAAACCTATTTTGTAACTTATTTAAAACATTTTAAAACTTTTATCCGAGACGAAGCTGGAACTTTCTCATATTATGCAAATATGCATTTATGATTAATTCTGTTTATATTAAAGCTTTAGTTAGGTGGTTAAAACTTGGAGTATACAGGGTAAACATTTTGGAGTATTGTCTTTCCTTTCCCCCCCCCCCAGTTTCTACGGTTATTTCTGAAGTGTTATGTTCAGTAATGTGAAAACAAGCTTACAGGTAAGTTGTAGAATTGAATGTTTGGTATTTTTGTGATTGGTCCATAAATTAAAAAGAAAACAGTGGCACTGATCTTTGTAATGGATGAAATGTTTTTAAACTTTCATTTCATGCTCCTGTTTTATAATATGTTGGGAGTTTACTTTCTGCCAAAGAGATTAAGCCTGCTTTTAGAGTGGATATCTCATACTAATTATAAATCTTTCAACAGATACAACTGTCTGCCTGTACTCCATCAAGCAGTGAATTTAATACATTTTAATATTGCTGAGCTATTAACAATCAGGCCAGCAGAATGTAGTCCCAAGCAATTTTGTTCATGTATGTGGGTGGTTATAGGCTTCATCTAATTTCATTAAACTTTCCCAGTTGGAAATTTAGAACCTGTTTCACAGTATGGTATTTGGTAAAAATTGCTCCAATTATATTTTTTTTCCAGTTAGCTTTGGTGAAGTGAATGTTAAACACGGATATCACTGATCAGTTCTTGACGCACAAGCAGTTTTATAAACGATAAATCGCTATCTGGGTGCTGACTGAACCCAGACAGAACTGTGTAAATGACAAACTATCTTTTTAAATGTTTGTGCTATTCAGTAACACCTACCTGCTTCCTTTGACTTTCGTTTTTTACTTATTGCTGCTAACTTTTTCTAAGTTGATTTTTAACAATTGTGTGACTTCTCAGTAAAGGTAAGTAGGAATCCTTCTTGGAGATGAGTGGTAAAATTGAAACTGCCATGCCAACGTGTTTATAGGTGGACAGAAACTGCCGAACTTTGCCGGCCATAAAGAGTGCCTGTGGGGTTTGCAAGAGGCAATGGAATCTGGTGTTTTAAATGATTTAGTCTTTTAACCCTTCAGGAATGTGGCGGTGTAGCTGGTGATCTCATGGTTTGGTCACTGTATTAGTGGTCTGTGCATTTCCCATTGCTACCCGTGCCAACCGGAAAATAATTGCGGGACTAGAATGCATACTGTACCTCATATGAAATATGACATCCTTTAGTTTAGTACAATCATTGTTTTCATGAATATACAAGCCAGGTAGCCCGAAGACTATTTTTCTACGGATCCTTACATAGGCAGTGGTTTTTAAATCCAGTAAGATGTGGGGATTCCCTCCCCCCCCCCTTATTTAAAGAGCTTTACCTGCAATTTTGTGGATTTTACAACTAAAGAGTTTTAGTATGAGAATGAGCTTGTGCTCGATTCTCTTATCTGCTGCAATTTAGTATATTCTCATGTAAGTGGTAAGGGAACTGTTATTCTGTCCCACATCCACCACAGTAGGAAGTAGGAGTTTTTAAAAGGCAAGTTGTTCTTCCAGGAGTTCAAGGCCAAGCTGCAGAAAATACTGATATGAAGATCTCATTTTGTGGGTTTTGTATTTTGTTTTACCAAAATAAAAACATTTTAAAAGGATTTGGCCTCTTTATTGTGTCCATCCTCATTTGGTCGTTTTTTAAGGAAGATCAGACCTCTCCTTTGTGCCGTTGTAAGTATAAAGTATTCCATAAAAAGCTGGTTAATCTTTGGTTTTGCACAACATGGCTCTAGTCTTCTATAATCCTTGCAATAATGAAGATCCCATCTTAAATGGGAGCCTTGGAATTTGAGCACAATCAATGCATGGACAAATGTTTTACAAACAAAAGCTTCCTGGTTCTCTATTCCAGCTGGATTTGAACAACTCCAGTTTTGGAAGGATTTCCAGTCTACTTTATGTAGAGAGCAAGTGGTCCATAGCATAATATAACTTTCATGCTATTTGTCATCAGTTACATTTAGCTTGTCAGTACTACCATCTGTGATCTGTGGTTTTAACCAGTGAGTAACCACTGTACCCCGTAGGAAAGTTTGCCTTTTTTGTCCCTACGATTGCGTTGGTTGGGAAGGAGTTGCAGACAGGTGTATTGTGAAAGTCACTGGTACATGATTTCCATGGCCATTGCTGGAAACAGTTACGGTTGCTTTGCACTAGGTGGAGGGTTCTGTATTGTAGAATTCTGTGCTATTCTCAAAAGAGCCTGGAGAGAGTTCACTGGGCACTAAGCTCAAAATAAATGTACCTGATTATCCCACATGTCTTCAGCAGGGCTGAGATGTAGCTACCATAAGCCTAGGCCACCTCTAGCATAGCTGTCCGCATGAGGACTTGCATTGTCCTACTGTAATGTCGCATCCAAATGAGCCCAAATAAGGGTAACAGCGTTCTGTAGTGAGTAGACACTCATGCCCCGACCACCATTGGGCTTCCTGTTTAGTTCTGTTTGTTTTGTAGCCCTGTACCTCACCAACATCTTACCGGGTGCCCACCACTGATTGAGGGAGCTCCAGATTCCATCCTGCTCAGGTATTGTTCCAACATCCTGATGGCACAGAGGTGTGCTCTTCCGAAGCAGGGCAAGTCAGTCCCATCGTGTATCATTCTCCATTTTCATCAGGCTTGACATTCAACGGGTCAAATCGCCCCCTCAACTATGACGGAACTACTGAGGTGACGGTGCTTATGTAACGCAGTCACTTGAGTAGCTGTCATAGATTATCAATTAACAGTAATACTAAAATATTTAATATTAAAAATCCATATACTTTTTACATTTAAAAATAGGATAAAGGAGTACGAGTATGTTTCTTTTGGCACTCACCATATAGGATTTACTCACTTCTTCCACTACTGAAGTACAGCACCCATCTGGGTAGCATGTAGCAGTGGCTTGGCCCCAATAGCCCCACTGCACAGTAAATGAATGGGACAGCTGTGGGATTATTGTACTGGCCGAATTAAGGGGAAAATTTGGGAGAGGTCCTAATTATGCCTTGTTCAGAAAGTATTGTGGAATCCTTAAGAAGCAAGCAGCTGTGAACTGGGTCTTACCCAAAGGAATTTACCTTCTAAAGCCCTGTTGTAGTGCTGTGCTGTGAGATTGGTTTGGAACGAATTGTGGTTCAGTGGCAAGACTGCCACCTACTGCCAAATGCCAGCTGCATCCTGTTTTTCTCTGGGTAGTACAAAACCCTGGTCCTGGAAAAACACTGTCTTCTGGTTTTGCTCCAGTCAAGTACTTAAGTCAGTATTTCATTCAGCTCTTAAAAAGGCCCAATAGGATTTGTCATTGGTACCTACACTAACAGTTTCTGACTTGCCGAACTGCCTACATTCAGGTTCAGTGAATTGTAACTGGGCCTCGGCAGAAGGAATAGAAGCTCATTATGGTGCTGTCTGATGCAGTGTTCTTGCTACCTCCATACATTGATCAGCTAATTGGAACTGTCCAGTCCAGTCAGAAATACCAGCAAGCAAGTTGCAGAGAGATAAAGTCTAAATGACTCGAGATAATTTAAGAATTAAGTCACCAGTTATCACAGGGGCTGCAGAGCTGTGCTGGAATGCACATAGTGTTCCGCCAAGACCAGGGTTGGGAACTACATGCTAAAATGCGGTAAATCTGCTGACACGTATTAAAATTGACAAATCTAATAAACGTACTATGTAGCTTTTTATTACTGTAATAAAAGTTAATATCTTTTTATAGTACTATTATGTGCTATATCTTCCATAGTCGTTTTTTAAACGATACAATAGGAAGGTTTAGTTTTTAAAAAAGACTACAGCGAATTAACAAGACATTACATGTGTAAACAAAAAATACGTAATGTACTGAATGGCTTTTACAGGATTCTTTCGTGAGCCAAAATTTAATCTCTCTCAGATTACTGAACAGCAAGGGACAATGACGTTTACCCGGTGAAAGAAACGAGGGGAACAAAAGTAGCGGAACCTTTTTTTCATTGCCTTTGACGTACCGGATTACTTATAAGGAGGACCTTACGGACTATTGTTGTCGATTTTTGGTAATGGTGGATGGCCCTATTTGGGGGGGGTTTCATGGCACGCTTTCTAACGCAGTGTGTTGAAGCAGACCTCAGCCACCACTCCAAAGGGCTGTTTATAAGGAGGTAGACGCCCTCTAAAACAATATTATTTTTTATAATACTATGTTTAAGAGGATGGCTGAATTTGGTCCAGATTCCGGAGGGCGGGTAAAGGTAAGACCTTCCTGTAGTACAATGAGGTTTGGGTTTGGGAGTAACAGAGGATGAGATAATTAATGCCAATCGTGTCGTTTTCTTGATAGCAGTTGTTGAATCTGTGCGGGAAAGCTGCTTCCCTCTGTTAAACCTTAATGTTCATAGACATGGAAAACTAGGATAAAACACGATCAGGGATCTGGCTCCACAGCGCTCCATACGCAGAACAGTTCATGAGCAGCGAGTTACGATTAAACGCACGGTAGATCAAAATTACTAATCACATTAAGGTAGGTTGGTTTAACGCCTTTCATTCCTGTGAACCGAGCTGTGTGTTATAAAAACACTAAAAATCTTTATTCCGTGTTTCCTACCGTCATTCTGTCTTATTTTATAGGGAGTAACAATCGTTAAACCGATAGTTTATGGGAATGTGGCTCGGTATTTTGGAAAGAAACGAGAAGAAGATGGACATACTCACCAGTGGACGGTGTACGTGAAGCCTTACAGGAATGAGGTAAGGCATTGAAAGTGTCATTGAATTAAAATAGTTAAGTCCAAGCAGGACTGCGTGAAATTACAGCTAGATTTCTTCAAGTGAAATGTCCTCTTGCATTCCGTCATTTGTCATAAAAAAATATTTGTTTTATAAAGAAACTGCTGTGTTTTGTGCACTTATTTGTTGGTCGTTTGAGAAGCCAAGGCTGCAGCAAGACCAGACTTGTTGCTCATGTCATGTCTTGCTATTCTGTTGCCCTACGAGGGCTGCCTTACTAATCTATGAGCCAAAGATGTGAAATCTAAGAATTAAATACTGCTGGGGTTCTGAGACATGCTTTTGGTTTTGATTGCAGGATATGTCTGCTTATGTAAAGAAGATCCAATTCAAGCTGCATGAGAGTTATGGAAACCCACTAAGAGGTACCGTCAGAATTGCATCCTGGTTTGGCACTGCTGTGTGCTAGCAAATGAGCAGTTTCATTGGAAGTGTTAAGTGCCCTGACACCCCTTTTGCCCAATTGTCAAGAAGTACCGTGTGTAGTCTGTATTGCACATCACAAGATAGTTGTGAGTCTGGCCTGCCAGTGCAATGTGCATCAAAAGTGTCTTAATGTTCCCACAGACATGACGACAAATTAGATAAACTAGATTTTTTTTTTTAATTGTTGCTGATGCTTCTGGCATGATGTTGTTGTCAGACCTCAGAGCAACTCAAGTTCCTGGCTGTAGCAGATTAAATGTTTTTTCAAAGATTACTTTGGAACATGTGAAAGGATATTGACCCTTAAGGCAACTAATGTCTTTTTAAGTCCATTTTCTAAAGAGTTTCAACTGAAATGTCAAACTTAATTGTAGTGAAATGAGTAATGAATTCCATTTGCTTACCCTCTGAAATCTTAATGATGCATGGAAATCTGCACTCCAAATGTCAGCTCGATGTTTAAAAAAGCACAATTCCTTACATATTTTTTTGTTTCCCTGAATATGCATTTTTAAAATGTGATCTTGCTGAAAAAATATGGCCTCACTAATAAAAGAAAAATGTTTTATACTGGGGAGGATTGGTTATAGTATAAAAATAAAGTGATATCTACAGTACATCTCCTGTGCAGTGATTGCGGTAGTACAGATACTGAATTTTGTTTCTGTTGCTAAATTCTCATTACAGTTGTCACCAAACCACCATATGAAATCACAGAGACTGGCTGGGGTGAATTTGAAATCATTATAAAGATATTCTTCATCGATCCCAATGAGAGGCCGGTGAGTCAGAACAGGGGATTTTACTTCCTGTTTTTTTTAATAGTGCACCGTGTCTGAAGTTTGGTATTTTATCAAATTAGCAGTCACTATACTAATGGAGTATAAAAGCACACTGTGGGTCAGTAATAGTATCAGTCGAAATTAAATCTCAAACATGGCAGAGGTGCAGGAGAGAAGCAGAATATGACAGCAGGCGTTTAGACAGTGTATGTGTGGCAGAGGTGTATTGTTGGTGGGAGAAAATGAGGTGGGGACATAACTCATTGTAGCTGTTGGAAGTTTTTAGGGTGCTGTGAGGCTGTCATCTGATTCCCTTCTGCGCTAACAGAACAGTTTTCTGGAATTGTTTCAGGTGGACGAATAAATCGCAAAGTGAAAACACAAACAAGTGAAGCTCTTCTTGTATTGCGTGAATGCAGTGTCTTTCTTTAAACAGCATGGTTCATTTTAAAATTTCTTCAGCAGTTGTTGCCTAAGTTCATGGGCGTTTGGGATGTTTTGTGTTTCTGTGCAGACCTCTGTCCAAGACCCTGATCATTTATGGGGTGCCATCCCATCCCTGCATCTCAGTTCTGCATTAAGTATTATGTGTTCAGGATGATTGTATACATGACAGAATGCTGGGGTGTACTTTTGAGAACACTGTACACATCAGTAAAAATGTATTTAGTGCTCGTGGGGAGCTTGAGACTATGGAGATTAATACATTTCATAATGATAATTTTAATACATTTTTTGGGTAGATTTCTAAAGATTTGTGAAAGAGGGCATTCACCATTAAGAATAAATTATAAAGGAGTTTACCTGTATGAAGACCCACGTTGCTTAGGTTTACAGCTGTACAGCTTGCTTTATACACATGAAAGAAACTGTTGTGCTCTATTCGCCCAGGTCACCCTCTATCACTTACTGAAGCTCTTCCAGTCTGACTCAAGTGCTATGCCGAAGAAGACTGTGGTTTCGGAGTTCTACGATGAAATGGTAAGACTGACGTCTGCTTTCCTTGTAGTGACGCTGAAATACATTTCTGTTCATTGCTCTTTTATCCAAACCAGATTGTTGGTGATGTCCGTATCTCCAAGATGGTTAGCTGCAGCTGTGTGTTTTGAAAAGCACGATTGTGGGCTTCCCCTGCTCTGTGTATAAAGTGCACTGTTTTCCACTTGTCCACAATCCTGTAGTTTGGCAAACAGAATAGGCGTTGATGCTGTTGTGACTTTCAGGAGTCTGGTTGTGTTTTGAACAGTTATGAAGCAGTTCTTGACCTTGAAACCGGTGTCTGGGTGTCAGATCTTTCAGGATCCAACAGCCATGATGCAGCAGCTGCTGACAACCTCAAGACAGCTGACTCTGGGAGCCTACAAGCACGAGACTGAGTGTGAGTTGGGGCGTGGGGTCCATGAGGGTGAGAAATGAGGGCGCATCTCTGTGCGCATAAATGATGGGCTGTAAGTGAAAAAGACGGGTTTTCTTTCTTTCCTTCCCTGAAAAAGACTGAAGAAACTCAATCCTGGCCTCTTTGGGAGACTTCTCAAGCTTTATTTTTAAGGGAACGCTGCAGGCTGCCAGTTTTGAAGAGGACCAAGGGTCATGAGGGTGACAATTAATTTCCCTTTGACTTGAGCTCATGCCCTGCACTGATTTTTTTTCAACATTCCCATTCTGCTTAACTGCAATTCCTTTCCTATTAGCTTTACCAAGCGCCAACAGAAACATCACTTATAAGTACAACTAACCAGCATTTTAGCAGGTGCACTGAACAGACATGACCTAGGTAAATTTATCAAGCTGTGTATCATTCGTGTCAACACAGTTGTCCAACAGGAGGGCTACTGGTAAAAAAAAGTGTCTATTAGCGTTAGTGGCCACCGCTACATATACATGCTATGATTGTGATGCATGCTTAACACCATGGCGCACGTGCTGTCCTGCAGGATTTGGTCCCATTACTCTCGTAGCACCTGGACAATTGTGTCTGTTCTCTAATTTCTGTAATTCCAGCTCAGGGCACAGACAATCAGTGGGGCTCAAGTCTGGGGCATAGAGCGTCAATGGCATAGCCTTCACATTCTTGTCTTTCACGAAACCACTGTAACAGAAGCAGCATGAGGACCTGTGTTGTCCTCCTGGAGTGCCAACACACCAGGATGAGCCCACTCAGCAAGGACAGCTTAGTGAGGTCCCAGGATCTGATCAGTGTTGCGCTCTGGAGTAAGCCTGCTACTCCCTACAAATAGAGTTTGGTGGTGATTGCACACTCCTGCCCGGGCTATCAGTCTTGAACCTGCTCGTGCATCGTGGGCAGATGTCTTGAGTCCCCAGGCTGTAACCCGTGATGCCTCGTCACAGGTTAGAAATCACTGCCTGTGAACAAATCAGACAAAGTGCAATAGTGGGTTGACTTAGTCCCGCCTCTACATGCTGTTGATAATTGAGACATATTGGTTTCTTTTTGTTTCTTACTTGATGATTACCAGACTTGACATTTTACAGGCTGAATGCAGAAGCAACTTGAGTGCATCTTAGCTATGCATGGTCAGTTAAAAAAAGTCATTAATGAAAACTTATATTATCCAAAATCCAGGTGCAATTTCTAAAGATGTGCATACGTATTGTGATAGTTTTCTCCAAATGCTCTGCATATAAGTGAGCTGGTCAAGAAATGAGTTATCCACCACATGGCTTAGTGCTGACTTGTGACTAAGATAGATTGAAGAAGCATTTGGAGAGCCAAGTGTCTCTGCTAGAAAATGGAACGAGTCCTTTTGATTTCCCTTCATCCTGACTTAACGTTCTGTGACTTTTGTTTTTGTGGAGAGGTCTGAGTTGTGTCTTGGCATCCTACTGTGTCTTTCAGTTGCGGAGCTGGAGATGAAGACCAAGGAGAAACTGGAGGCAGCCAAAAAGAAGACAAGTGTGGAGATCACCGAGCTGAAGGAGAGGCTGAAAGCAAGCAGAGAGACTATCAACTTCTTGAAGAGCGAGATTCGCAAGCTGGAGGAGGAGGACCAAGTCAAAGACACCTGAGCGCCGGTCTCCATGCGGAGCGGCACTGAAGTGAAACCCACCCTGGAGTGGTCTCCATCTCTGTGTGTGTAGAAACGTCCTAGGAAGACTTCACGCCTCTGCATTCAGCTCTTTGGGAACAGCCTGTTCCCCCGAGTTCTTAAACAAGTTCCCACTCCTCCCCTGTCATGCACACGGCCAACTTCTCTAACCTCTTTGAAGATGTTCTCCCATTCCAAAGGCCAAAGTGGTCTTGAAACACTCGTTTGACCGAAGTTTTAAAAGGCTTTTTTTTTTTAATAAGGCTCAACTTTTTTCCCTCATGGTCATTTTTATTTGTAAAAACATTATATATTTGTTTTATTTGGTGGGATTGTGGAGCTTTGTCATTGTGAAACGCAAGATTGACAACTCCCAAAAATGCTTTTGATAAACATAAATTTCCCTGTATGATATTTTTATATATTTTTAAAAGGTTTAGCTTTAAACAGATTTGAGTATTAAATTTCTAGAAAGTCAAAGGGATAAAATGTTGTAGAATGGTATCCGTGCTTGTCCACAGTTGGACACAGAAGTAAAATTATCGCTTAATTTTTCAGACATCAGGCACCAAGTACCACAAGTTGGGAAAAGGAGTGACTTGTAGATCCCTGTAAACTGCAAACTTTTTTTATTTGAGTTTTTTTTTTTTATCCAGTGGAAGTTTCAATAGGATATTCAGTGTTGGTAAATTAAACCTTCCAGGCTTTGAGGTGATTATTTTCCATGTGCTTGACTGAGGTCTTCAGTCTGAGCAGAGGTTCTTAGCTGTAGTCTTGCAGAGCGTCTATCTTCATTAAAACTCTGTTTTTCAAAGGGAACTGCAATCCCCATTTCTCTGACCAGTTATTAAATTCAATGACGTTAATGCAAAATTTGTCAAAACAATTATAAGCACAAAATTGTGAACTTTGTGAATGAACTGAAAGCTGCCATGTCACAAACTCACTCCCGCAGGTGGTGACACCACTGGTCCGCACGAATTACAATGTGAAGCGGCCCTTCCTGCTCACTAGTCACTGTAATGAGTGTTGTAATGTATGAGCAAATAAGTACAGGTTGTGCTGCAGACATTTTACTGCAGAAATCAAGCAACGTGATCTGCAAGCAGAGTTAACAATTAAGTCGTGTTTGTCTTGAAGTCGAGAGCAGTATTTCTGTTGGATGAAAAGAGATGTATTCATAAGTCTGATTCTTTGAAATGTTTTGTGATAAGGCCGCTTCATAGAAGTTTGGTTGTCTCGTTTTTGAATCGGAGAATATGTTATTATTCAGGCCTGGAAATTTTGTGTATTTTGTGATGTAAAACCCCCAATTTACAAGTTACTGTGTGTACATTTTACTTTGAGTTTTGTTTTGAACTACACTCATCAGTGTTGATTCTTTCTAATATAAACACAGCATTGCAGTTCCCTTTTAAAGAACCCAATTGAACTGATTATTGGCCTCATTCCAGCAGTTTTACAGCTTCTTTGAGCCCTGCAGGTGTGCCTGATTGAAAGAAACATATAAAAATGGGCTAGTCCATGATTCTGCCGGGACAGGAGTCTGCCACCTGTGCTGTTACAACATGAGGTCAGTGATGCTTTGTGGCCCATATCTGCCCTAGAAAAAGGGTTGGCATTAAAATCTGCTCCCCTGTTCACCTTTACTAAAATTACAGAGCATCACTATATGTTGGGGTTTTGGGGTTAGTATAAACCATCTTTTCAAAACCTCCCTATTCGTCAATGCTGGAACCTGTCATATGGAACCAAAATCTAAATACTCTTCAATGTTCAAAAGCCCAGAGGCCTTGGCTCTTCAGTAATTTACAAGCGTTCCTGGTTTTTAGAAATTGGTGACCAGCTGAACTGGATCTCTGCATGACCAGGCCTGGAGACCCTTGATTCTGCTGTTTGCTATATTTATAACAGACAGGGTCATAGTGCTGCCTGAGTATTGACAGATGAGAGCAAAGATCTATTCTTGTTTGTAGAGCAAACTCAACTGCATTCCGCAGTGGCGCAGTATTCTGAGTGGTAAGTGGTGGCTTATTGAAGCCTGCTGCAGTGAAGACTGACGTATGACGGGTTGTTTTCATCTGACACGCACTCTGAACGTGGCAGCCCACATCTCTGGCACCATCCCAGGACCTGGCTGAAACAAGGTAGTGAGTTAGGAAGAAAGTGCTGCCTTCTGTCTGTGGGTGAGTACTGTACTGGATACGTAGCGCTCGATCAGACCCATGAAAATCAGTGCAACATGCACAAAGCTGGCAAGAGCACATTCCACCCTGAAAATGATTAAACTTTTCTGCCCCATAGAAGCAATTATATGCACGTTATTTAAGCAACACGGTTTCTTCATATACTGTATAATAGGCCAGAACGAGGATACAAAAGCAATAAGGTTTGGATTTCAAATTTCGTTTCAGAGGGCAAGGACAAAAGTGACCCTTTTAAAGTGTTTAGTGGTAGTACAGTGTTGAAACATCCATCAATACCCAATCATAGTTCATATTAGCCTCTTTCCTATCGACGGTTCCTCTACGTGATCCATAAACCCAGATTGCTGACGGTATATGTGTGCAAATTGAAGAACAGATTTACACCTCTGCACAGAGAAGCAAGAGGGCGCCCTTCAGAAAAAAGGAAAAAATCCTGAACATCAACAATTCAGCCGCACTCAAGTGACATAAATTGTATAAACAGATTACCGTTTTCGGAATAATTCTCTAAATTTAAACTCATGCCTGATTGCATGGTTGATCAGTACTAGTAAGAGAGAGTCCCTGGGTGAATTAGGTCCCTGTAAAAAATTATTGCTGCTGGTGGTCCAGAAGATGGCGCTCTTCGCTCTGGAACAGACTTTCCAAACCTGTCCCAGTATGATGACTGGGGACCCAGTTCTTTGTGTGAAGTCTTATCTATTTGCATTTGAATGTCTGGTGCATGAAGCTACCGAGCTTGACAAGCTTGGTCTGTGATCTGCAATCCTGATGCAGTGTTCCAAGGTTTTCTTCTCAAGACTATTTACTTAAACCCAGATCCTGACTTATCTTACTTTCTGTAAGGTAATGTAAGAGTAGGAATGTTAACCCTGGTGTCTTGGAAAAATTCCACTTTGGGGTGTGTTCACTCTGGTGTCCCTAAAATGACCCCATCAACCCCATTGGTGAAGTAGGTTCTTCCCTTGCTACCTGGTGTGCTGTGTAGCGGGGCTGCTGGCGCAGGGTGGCTGATGTGTATGGGTGTTGTGCTTTAGTTAAGGGTGAATTGATTCCCCTCTCGCCCTTCCCTTGGAGGGGAGAAGTGCAATTATAACTGCAAGCAAGAATTTGGACTTTGCAGACCTTACAGTGGATTCTATTTCATTCCTGTCATTATTTTAACACATTTTATCAGCTCGAGACAATGCTCAAGGTCAGTTGGCCTCTTTGTGGTACCACAACTCCAAAGTAGCTGGTGCTTGGCAGTGCCATTGGGCTGCGGTTCTCCAAGCGGGGGGCACGGACGTTTCAGAGCTGTCCTTGTCCCCCCTGAATGTTGAGTAAGGAAGCCACTGCCTGCAGCCATCTGGCATGTGGCAAGTATCTTGTTTCTTGTACAAGGCATAAGAAAAATTCTGCAACAAAAGAAAACAGACGTTAGCTCATTGCTTCCATATCGTCATGTTTGTTTTAACAAGTAATTGTGGTATTGTCTGAACCTACCCAGGCTTTTTTAGTTTCATAGTACACACTTTCTTCACAACTTCACGTACAGATATACTTTGTATCTACGGAGCCAAAGACCCAGAAGGGTTTGTTCTCCAGTACGAACTGTGAAATACGGACTATGGACTGCGAAACCATTTAACAATCCTTTTTTTGTGGGTGAATTTTTTAAAATTTTGATAGTCGTTTTATATTTTTACATCTTATTTTGTTGAGCTTTTTTTTTCTTAGTTGTGTGAATACGTTTGTGTTTGGAGTGCAAAAAAAAAAGAGAGAAACTTGCAGTAACTAGGCAACAAGCAAACCCAAACAGGACTTGTGGAAATATGGTTATGAAAAAAGGATTTGTATTGCTTAGAAATGAAGCTTGCCTTAGAGGGATTGAGGCAGAATTGGTTTTATGTTATGATATTTAAACATAAACACAATATGTCACAGAATAATTTTGCTAATGGGATTACAGCGTTTATGTTTTCTTCAAATCTATAGTAATTACTGTAAAGGCATCATTTGGCTTGCAGAAAAATTGGTTTATTGAGTGATTCACTAGGAATTGCAACTTGCAATTTAGATATTAATGCATTGATACAGAAGTTCTGCAGGAGTGTCCAAAAAGAGAAATTATGTAAATGAAATGAAATGATCAAATTACCACCAAATGAGAATAATCAATATTAACATGTTGGCTGTGATTTTGGAAAGCAATTATTTAAGTTCCAAAATCCATAATATTACATTCAGCAGAACACAGAAGTATAAATGTACAGTCTTGAGTTACTTAAAAGTTGCATTTGTGGGTGTACAGAAAGCTGTGATTTTTCTTCCCTTTTTTTTTAGTGAAGCCAAAGTCAGTAAAGTTTTATTTATTTGTCTTATGCATCAAGTTACCAGGCTTAATAGTTTAGGTTGGGGATCTGCAATCTCAGTCCACCATACCAAAGATTTATTTTCATCAAAGACTTTATGAGACCAGTTATTTACTTAATTACAGTGGGCTAACATGCATTCTTACTATGTAAAGAGAGGCTGTGAAACATACATCACCATTGCTCTCTAAGGCTTCAGTTTCAGGGTATAGGTTAAGGAGGCTTGGATTTTGCTTAACACACCTGCCCTGGGCAAGCTTTTCCACACTTATTTTCCACAAAATAGTACTCTATTTTACTGTTGACACTGTCCATAATATACTTCACAGTCTCATACCCAGGCATTTCTCCTATGCAATTAGTCTTGTAGAGAGAAATGCCAGACCAATTTGAGAAATGTTCTGACCAAGAGCCAGGGCTGTCCAGTGCTTTCTCATTTTCATTCCAGTTGATCTTGCAATTATGTAATCAAGCCCCTTAATCCAAGTGATAGCCTTCTCATTAGCAATCTTTAAAAATGGTTTCGGCTCCCAGCAAAATCTGCAGTGTGGGTTTTTTCCCACTAAATTGAAATCTGAATCTACTGTACTGGAAAACAGTGGGATATGTCGCATTAGCAAATGACTAGTTGAGTGAAGGCTGGAATGCAGCTCGTCTTAGCTTGACTGAGTCCTATAGGATAAAGGGGACCCCAGGAAATCGAGTTGGTGAACTATAGTGCTTCAGGTTTCCATGCATTGCACACTTTGTGCCACTAGGGGGAGGAAGAAAGCACCGTTTTACTGGTTAGCCCGCCGTTTAAAGATAAACTCAACTTCAACGAGAAGGTTTAATTTTTAGAGTAGACGTGTTGACTGTTTTATGTTTGAATTGGGCAGTTGTTTTTCGACCATTTTATCCTGCAGTTTCTGTCCTTTCCGTGAGTCTGGAATGGAAAGGTGAAGGAGGAGTAAACATCAACCATCCCATAAATACCCTGTTCCACATAGTTTGGGGTGGGGGGCAAACGAAATCAATAAATACATCTAGTCTTTCTTCAGTTATGTGTTGTTTTTTTTTAATTTTCCATTGATTGATTTTAAAAATAATATCAAATCACACAAATGGTGACACACAGATGCCAATTGTAGAATAAATATAAATTAGCTCTTTGGTCTGTCAAATCTTTGCAACACCTGTCTTGGAGCTTTTCATTCTGCCTTGTGTTCAAAGTTTGCAGCACCAGTGTGACGTTACTAACTTTGAGCAGGCACTCAGATGTACACATGTACTGTATTAGATTGAACACCCCTTCAGCATAGGCTTCTAGTTAAGACTTCAGAAAGAGATGTCCATGGCTGTCTACTTGGACTTTATGCTGTGAATGAGAAGCCTTAAGAAAACTCACTCTCCTGTAGCATCATGATTGGACAAAGAGCTAATTAATATCTTACCAATAATTTTCTGTAATAGGCCCTTCACTCACACCCATTGAATGTTCATTATTACAATTGGAGTAATCAGATTTGGTGAAAATAAAGCATATATAATATTTAAAAGTGTTATGGATGGAATTTCCGCACTCTAATTTCCCTAAAATACTTTGTATATCGAATGCTGATCTACTATTGATCTGATATTCTTCTGTGTTAATTGTTACTCTGACTATTATTGAGCATCTGCAAATTTAAAACATTACATTTATAACACAAAATGTTATTAATGAAAACTGAAATATTACAAAACATTATTCTTGCTACAAAACATGATTCTTGCTGTTTGGGATTAAATGTGGATACTTATGTGCTCTCAGAAAGCTTAGACTGTAGTCCACAAGAGTCTAGAAGGAATGCTGAAGTCCTAAAAAAAAATTTAATTTAGT